TGGTGGCATCAGCCATCTTCTACGGAGTGGTCTGTTGGGGCAWCAGCATCTCCACTGCTGACAGGAAGAGACTGAACAAGATCCTCAGGAAATCCAGCTCTGTCCTGGGGTGTCCTGTTGACCCAGTGGAGGTGGTGGCAGAGACGAGAATGAGGACTAAGCTCCAGCGCATGCTGACATACCCTTCCCACCCCATGCACCTCTCTCTGACAGCACTGAGCAGCTCCTTCAGCGCCTGGCTGCGGCACACTAAGTGCGTGAAGGAAAGATACCGCAGGTCTTTCCTTCCAGCCGCCGTCAGACTGTACAATACCCACTGCTCTAAGTAGTTCACCACTCTCTACTACAGGCAATAAACCTGGAAATTGTTTATTTATTTATYTTTCGAATAATACTGTTTTTTAGTTTTTCTGTATTCACTTGATTTTACTGTGTATATATAGTTTTTCAAATTGGTTTTGCTTTTCTGCTTTTCTGCTTTTTATACTGCTTTAACAATGTAAATTTCCCCACTGCGGGATTAATAAAGGAATATCTTATCTTATCTTATCTTATATGAAGTGGGAGCTGAAAAGACCAGATCCCCTCTGTGTACCAGCCTGGACCGTGATGAGGTCCAGTCCAAGCAACATAAGTGAATGTTTGATTTGAGGTGGTCTGCGTTGACGCAGCCCCCCGGAGTGTTGGGAGGCAGAAGTGTTGCAGAAAGTTACTCCGTTGCTTCCAGCTGTCTCCATTGCTGATTCCAGTGCTTTCAGATCTGGTGCGTGCAGCTGAGAGCTGTTGGTTCGTTTTCAGGTGAAGTGCGTTAAAACTGGCTTGAACCGGGCGATAGCTCAACCTGAAGGCACAATTGAAACCCAAATAAAAAAAACGTGAAAATAAAGCCAACAATACAATTATTATGTAGTTATAACACCACAATATAAGAAATACAGAAACAGCTTTATTCAAAGTTTAGTGACTTGTTGATGGCAGCTGACTCTGGAAACCACACTGTGCTGGTTTTATTGGATTTAACTTCAGCTTTTGATACTGTGGATCACAAACTGTTCTTATCAACAGACAGATTTGTTTGGTATTTCTGGCGCTGTGTTAAACTGGTTCACCTCTTATTTATCTGAAAGGTTTTTTACTGTTTACTGTTATTCTGATGTTGAACTGCTGTCTTATGGAGTGCCCCAAGGTACAGTGTTGGGCCCAGTCCTCTTTTTATTGTACCTATATCTTTTAGGAGGTATTTTACAACATTACAGTAATGTGTCAAATCACCTGTATGCTGATGACAGACAGTTGTTCTGTTCCTTTCAAGCCACTGAGTTCTACAAACCGTCTGAACTCGTTTAAAATAAAAATATGGCTGAACAATAACTACCTGCAGTTAAATGCAAACAAGACTGAGACTCATTATTGCCCTTGATGATAAAATCCCTGTAATCAGTCAGCATCTTGCTTTTTTAACTCCTTCAGTGAAAAAAAAAAGTCTCAGAAATCTGGGTGTTGTCTTCGACAGCTCCTTGTCTTTTGACACTCATTATAAAATCTTAGTATGGAACTATTTTTAATCATCTGAGAAATACAAGCTGAGAA